AAAAAAAAAAAAAAAAAAAAAAAACAAACTATATACAGTTATCATCAGATACAGATTCTCTTAAAATTTGTAGAATTCCACTGAATACTTTCACTAATGTTATTTTAATATATTTACCTAATTTTTAAATAGTATGATTAAGGGCTGGCCAAATAGCTCAGCAGATTAAAGTGCCTGCAAGCAGGCACAGGGGCCAGGGGTTTGATCCTGGGGCCTGCCATCTGGCCCTGCTCCCGAGGTGCGCTGAAACAGCAATTGAGACTGGGCATGGTGGAACACGCCTGTAATCCCAGCTCTTGGGAGGCTGTAAGCAGGCGGATCACTACAAGTCCGATCTAGTAGTGAGACCTGAACACCCTGTAGACCCTTCCCTAAAATGCAAATAAGTAAATAAGTAGTATGATTAAATATACAGAGAAAGACCCACTAATTCCCAAAGTGAAATGGTACCTCTGGAGGCTGTTTCACCATTGCATCAGCCTTTTTTATTTTTGCAGAACCAGGGATTGAACTCAGGCCGTTGAGCTTGCCAGGCAAGCACTTATTCTACTAAGCTATCTCCCCAGCCCTGCATCAGCCTTTTTGACTAAAGGCTTCTGCAAGTCACACAGACTTGCAGACCTTCTCTTCCCTATGTGCCCTGCAGACCATTGCCCTGTATCAAGAATAGGGCAGGTGCACATCGTTTCCTATGCCTGTCTCTTCCACTTGACTAAGCCACAGAGAATAGCATCATGTGGGTGCTCCATATGGCTTCCTGAGACTGTCCCTCAGAAGGACCTTGGCAAATAGCAGGAAGGAATCCAGCCTAAACCCTATCACCTCAACTTGGACACTGGCTAAAGATCTCAGAAGGAAGAGAAAGCGGTTTCTGTGGGCAGATTTTTACCCAAAATTCCAGCTGCTTACCTTCCACACCCTTTGTATCAATGATCTCCTCTGCAGCTTTAGCTACTGCAAGATTCAAAGATTCACTACCGACTTTGTTCATTCTCCTGGAGTTCAGAGCTCGTTTCTGCTTAGTGGTACCAAAGGCCTCAATGCAAGAATCCATCTGTTCAAGAGACAAATCTGGTTAATGGGAGCAGTCTGGGCAGGCACTGCTATTCCTAGCTACATAACTACAAAGAAACTCCAGACTCCCCACCACCATCTCGCTTCTCCCCACCTAACTTCTAAGTCTGTTAAGTCATTCCTACCGGACCTATCACAGGACTGTTGTACACATCAAAGGATACTGGCAGATTTGACATGCTTACTTCATAAACTGTTAAAAGGCCATTTATAAATTAACAGCTTTTCCATCAGTAATGGACTATAACATTGCTAACATATCATTTAGTCTTTCGCCCTGAGCCAGAGTCTCACATCTCTTCTCTCAGCGCACTGCCCCAGAAAGTACTCAAGGCTCAATCAGTGGGCCATCCTAGGGTGAAATAATCTTTGCAGGAACTTTCTATGTTGAAAAATCCCAAAGTTCAATGTATTTTAATGTGAAAGTTTCCAGGCATAACCAACATTTTCTGAATTGTGGACCGAATCCTAAAAGCCAGTATTACATGACACCTTATTAGCCCAAAGAACAAGTTCTAAACACGAGCACAGAACTGCATTCAGCTGCTCCAGACAGGAGAGGGTCTGTTCTGTGAGACCTGGATGGCTCTGCACATGGAAACTGTCCAGAGAATCACAGCGAAGGGGCTGAGAGCACCAGGAGACTGGAGTCCAACCAGCCCTTTGTACTCTTGGAGAAACATGAGGCCCAGAGGAAACTGCCTCAGTCCCCACATTGTAATTCTGTCATACTCACCTTTTCTCTGAAAGTTTTGGTCTGACTCTCCAATGTGGGTTCACTCTCAATTGATTCATCTGTCAAAATACAAAAACAGAAAGGGGAGAGGGAAAATTTTAAGATGTACAGATAGTTATTTAGTTTTTTGAGACAGGGTCTTATGGTTCCCAGGCTGGTCACAAACTCATGGGCTCACCTGATTCACCTGCCTCACCCTCCTACCTCTGAGAAGCCAGAACTGTAAGAGTGTGCCAAAATGACTGACTCTGAATGGCCTACAAATACTAATAGAGTTTAAATTTTTTATTTTTGGTGGGCCGGGGAGATAGCTCAGTAGAAAAAGCGCTTGCCTGGCAAGCGCAAGGGCCTGAGTTCAATCCCTGGTTCTCCCCCCTCCCCCCCAAAAAAATGTATATTTTTGCAAATAACCAAAAAAAAAAAATAGACATCTGTATTACAGAGCTTCCACAAGCCTAATGTGAATGTATACTGTGAACTTTTAATATGTAGCCGTAGTACACAGATAAGAGAACTGCGGAACAGAACAGGAAGTCAAATGAAGGAGTCATCTGCTCCAACTCACTGTATGAAAAAGAAAAAAAATGAGGCCTCCTGATGAAATGATTTGCCTCAGTGAGTTCCCCAGACAGAGGCAAAGACAGGCTCAGAAACCAAGCCCTTAGCCCTTTCCATCAATAGTTTTGTTCTCCTGGTAAAAGACTTAAAAACAGTCATTAACATGAGGTTTGTATTTTTTACATGATACCCTTCAGCTTTCCACAAGCACTCAAATAAAGGGCAGTACAATCTAGTGGACAAGAGCACAAGCTCTGGAGTGGTCTTATGTCACCAGACCACTGGATTAGAGAAAAAAAAAAAAAAAACAACAACAGATCTCCCCCAAATTAGATAGTATATAGTGACTTTTCATCAACATGAAAATTACTCTCCAACCTAAAAGAATTTCTTTCACCTATCAGAGATTCTAAAACCTCCACATGCAAAATAGTTAAGAACTAAGAAAGGCCTTAGATGAAAAACAATATCCTTTGGGATATGTCCTCCAACATTCTATACCAGTCTCTGTTCAACTTGCTTTACTGGTCCTTCTGATTTCACACCTGTAAACACTGGACACAGGAGCTGTGTCAGCCTTGCTTACCTACTCACAGCCATCTACACCCCCAGCTTGGTGCCCAGGGAATAGTAAACTTGCTAAATTTACAAGTTCAAACCCGTTTCAAGAACAAAAAAAAAAAGCCATCTGAGAGAAATGAAAAGAGAGAGGTACTCAATTAACAACCAAGGTTTATTATTTTTTCAATTATTTATTTATTTATTTGGTACAGGGTCTTGCTATGCAGCTCAGACTCATAGTGATCATCTGGTCTCAGCCTCTCCAGCAGTGGGATTACAGGGGTGGGCCACTACACCCAGTTTCAGTGGCCAGCTTGGTGCGGGGGTGGCACGGTATGTGGTACCAGGGATCGAACAATGTCTTACAATAACATTTAAAAAAAAAAAGTTGGGGATGCCTCTCAATGGCAGAGCATTGCCTAGCATGCACAAGGCCCTGAGTTTAATCTCTAGTACTAGAAATAAAACAGAATTGGCAGAAAGGCAGCCTTGTAAAAATAATTACAGAATGTGCTTTACATACCAAAAACTTAAATGAACTCACCCAACAAACTCAAACTCTGCAGAGTTACTATGAGTTTTCACAGTAACTGAGACCTACCTGCAAACAGTGGCTGCATATTAAACAATTCAGCATCATATACTTCCATTTGGCCAGAAGTCTTGCTCAAAATTCCCACAAAGTGCCTGAATAAAGAAATACCACAGAGTGTTCAAGGTACTATTTCTACAATTGCCTTTTCTTTACCCTTCTTCTGTCCCAATAACCTAAGGTATGCACCAACTTGCTCTTAAGTATCTCTTTCAGCAGCAATCCTCTGCATGGAGAGGGAAAAGGAAAGATGGCAAAGGGGACATGAGGTGGATCTAGAATAAAAGGTTGCCTGGCAATTCTGCTAGCCAGTCACATCTGGACTCACTGATGGACAGGGAAACTCTTCTGAGGCATAAGAATCTACAATTATGTTAGACTTTACTGTGCACCATTTTTTCTTCTTCTTCTTTTTTGTTTGAGAGTGTCTCACTACACAGACTGAGCTGGCTTCGAACTCACAGTGAGCCTCCTGCGTCAGCCTCCAAGGTGCTGGGATTATAGCCATGCACCATCTGCCCAGCTATGCACTAAATTTCTATGGAGGCAAATGATGAGAGACACCAATCCAAAATCTATCATCTTTACAAGGGGATGATACAGAATTAAGTTGTAAGCACTTACACATCTAACTGCCTTCTATCAAGACATGCCAGCAGGAGCTCTGAGAGAGCCTTGTTTGTGTTTCATTCTTTATGTCATCATAAGGACCATGTCTGCCTCACACCCTATAGGCCTCACATCATACAGACTGTTCAAACTGAACAATCCTCAATATACAGAGAAACCCAGGGGTCAGTGAAGGGATGAGCTGTCCAGTTACTGCCAAGGTTGGATGCAAAGTGCATGCTATAAAGACTAAGAACAGGGCCAAGAACATAATTCAGTGGTACAGCACCTGCCAAGCAAACACAAGGTCCTGAGTTCAATTCTCAGAACAGCAACAAAAAACAGTAACAACAACTGAGAACACCAATGTAAGTGCCTCGACACTAATCTCCCCATCACCCATCCCACAGCCCCTCTCTCCATCCTTACCTGCATAGAGTGTTACACTTGAGGGCTCCAATCCCAAAATTATTTCCAACATAGGAAAGTCTATCTGTTTCAGCTGCCTAAAAGTATAAGAGAGGGGTAGTCAATTAACAAACAATGTTGAAAAGTGTTAAGCACTTGTAGTCTCAAAATCCAGGATCACAGTGGATTAGCACTAGTCGCCCTCTAGGAAATGATCCAGTCTCACCATTTGTACAGGAACCTGGCATAGTCCCAGGGAAAAGGCAAAAAAAGCTTCTGAAAACAAAGCCCACAGATAGTACTGGCTTCTAAATGATACAAAAAGGTTTTTTTTTTTTTTTCAATGTATTTGGTACAGGGTCTAAAGGATGTTCATAGTCTCACTACATAGATCAAACTCGTAGTGATCCTCCTGTTTTCAGCCTCCCAAGTGCTGCCGCCCCCGCCCCCAAGGCGTGCTGAGACTGCAGTGGAGACTGGGCATGGTGACGCGTGCCTGTAATCAACCCGGGGATCTGCCTAGGCAGGCACTTTAGTCCACTGAGCTATGTGGTTGGCTAAAAAAGTTTTGGTGGGAGTTGCACTACATGACTCAACAGAGTGGCCATAACAAATATGCACCACAGTGATTTTGCAGGCAACTTCTTTGTCCAAAGTTCAAGCTTCTTGATCTTTGCCTACTTCCCCAGTGACTGCTCTGTGCATATATATATATATATATATATATCTCCATCCCCCACTGGCTCTGGATACCTTAAATGAAGGTCTGATAAGGCATGAGGATCTGGGGATCGAACCACAGTATCCTGAGCCTGACTGTTTTACTTAAGCAGGCACGTAAACAACTGAACTAATGGGCAGGCCCCCCTGCTCTTTGCAATCTGAAAAGCATTGGAAATGACCAATTCACTCCCTAGTCACAACCAAGTTTTTTTCTTGCCTTTGTTCTTACTGTCCTCTCCTCTTAGAACACCAAGCCTTGGCTGTCAAAACTTCCACCATGCTCCAGGGCTCTGCTCCTTTTACCACGAAGAAATCATTCTGGCAAACAAAGCTCTCTTCCCATTGAGCTCATTCTGTCCTGCATTCTTCTTCCCCCAGCCTCTGAGCTTTGTCTGCTACACATGTGTCCTCACACAGTACTCACCTCTTTAGAGCAGAGGTTCTCAACATGAGGAAATTCACTGTAGTGTCACTGATTTCCAGCAGGTGTAGCCCTGAGATGCTATACCCTGGAATGCCTAAGCCTGGCACCCACAACAAGAAAATATTGGGCTCAAAACATCAATAGTTCCAAGGCTGAAAACCCTGCATTAGAGTACAAAACCCCTCCAAGTAGGACCAGGTGTGATATGGTTGTTTTCCCAGTAGCCTACTGCACGAGGATACAATAGGTGTTCAATAAATGCATTCTGAAAACATACGAAAAACCACCCCCAAGCTGCTGGGGCTCAGAGTTCTTCCAAGATTCATTTGCTACAATCCTTTTTGTCCCCTTGTGCCCCCCCCCCACTGTTGTCCACACCAAGAGGCCTGCTGAAATATGGAGAGTGGAATCAATACACTGCAGCACTTACCAAGATCCGCTGACTCCTCTTCCTCGGGTTTGTGGAGTCAGTGCTGTTGTACAAAGTGAAGCGCAAGTTGTCTGGATTCTGTAGCTTCCCATTGGAAAACTGAACTGTAAGAGAGCAACCCAAGAATTAGATGACAGCAAGGAAACTGGGTACGGTGGGGAGGAAAAGGTGTGTCACTGGGAAAGACATGTAAGTTCAGGGGGCTGAAGGAAGTCCTGATCAAGTTTCTAAGAGGGGTGTTGGAGACTAGGTGGTCCCAGCCCAAGTAGGCAGGGGACCTGATGAGAGGCGGAAAGACCGCAGAGGTACCCAGACGGCGAGAGAGAGGACTACAGGGACTCTGCTCTGGCGCCACAGTCTTTACCCAGTACAGCTCTCTGGCTCTCGTCCGGCTCCCCACAGTATTGCCACCTCGCGGTGGGTAACACCTCGGCTCCCATTTTGACTCCACAGCTGTCCAGGTGAGGAGAGGAGACAGCAAATTCCCTACCACGTGAGTTCCCAGCAATCACCGCGAACAGGAAGAGGCGTGGCCTCTGGGTTCCAGCCGGAGCTCGCCTGGGCGTGGCCCCGCCCCTACTCCTGAGCGGCCCATCCTCTGTCCCACCCCGCACTGGGCGGAGAGGCGCAGTCTTAGCCAGGGCAACGCTACAATCCCTCTCCCGCCGGGTCTGCGAGGAGTATCACCCGACTGGCCCAACGCTCTGCCTTCATCTAAAGGGTTAGTAGAACTGAGTCCACAGCAAGGACAGGTCCTGTAGTTTCAGCTGCAGCGGTGTAAGAGCTTTCACCTCTATAGTGGTCATCTTTCTCTTCTACCGTGACAAAGACACCTCCCTAAGGCCTGAAAAGAAAAAGCCAAATTGAAATTCAGAATTCTCTAACAGAACTCCAAGTGAAGGTGGCACCTGGTACAGAGCTGCTCATTGGTAAGGTCTCCCATGCACCAAAATGAGCACCCAAACCTTCATGTAGTCCAGGATTCAGCTACAGCCACACTCCATGATCTCTCCGCCTGAGGCACGCATCCACCTACCTGTACAACCCGAGCAGGATGGACCTGGCGGAGAGAAGCTCAGAAACTTCAAAGCATTGGGGCGGCGAGGGCGTGGTTCTGCGGATTTAACAGCAGTTTTTCCTCCTGGGGACTCATCAGAGTAGGAAAAGGGCAAAAGGAAGACTTTGGTTTCGGTGTCTTTGAGATAACATCACTGTGTAACCCAGGCTGGCCTCAAACTCACAATCCTTCCCAAATACTGGGATTGCAGGAATGTGATAAAACATACCTGGC